AAAGAGAGGATACTGGGGGATTAATTTATAATGGTGGTAGGTCAGTCTGTTTTTATTTGTGACAAGGAAGTATTGGAAAATTTACACAGATTTTAGACATGGAATGAGTGGTGTGATATTGTCAACAGGACGCAGTCAGTAAGAGCACATGCTTTTGTGTCACACAGACCTGGATCTGAATCTTGTACTGGCACTTTGTAGCTGTGTGACCTTGGGAAACTTATCTCACCTTCTTGGCCTCAGTTTTGACATGTGTAAATAGGTATGATAAGAATCACTGGATTTAAACGCACTGACCTATGGACAGTGACAGGTGCACTGAAGTACTTATTAATGGTAGCTCTTATTAGCATTACTATTGTCACCATCCATCCCTTTTCCCAGGAAACAGAAATTCTTGGTGAAATTTTGTGCTGAGCATTTTCCTGTAAACATCTGTGAACTGATGAGTTTAATTGGGATACTGTTGATGAGGCTTCTGTGTGTGTGGTGTTTTTTTTTTTTAATCAGAATAGTACAGGATCTGGATCAAAAAGTGCTCTTTTGTGCTGAAGTCTTCAAAATGTTTTTCACAAATGTGGGTTTATTTGGGTTAATTACGTGTGTGCATTCTATGAACCCTCAAGATAAAGGGCCTACAGCTGGAGCTGATTGTACAAAGAGAGAAGGGATATTACACTGATTGGCTAGTTGCTCTTGTCATTGTTTTTCATTGTCTTTTTTCTTTTCTTTTGCACCGAGTATCTGCCTATAATGGTGAACACTGAGCAACTGGCCTGGTTTTATAAAAAAAATCATGTGCATCTGAATGAAGTGTTTCCACAGAGTGTGTACTACACGGTGGGGGGTGGGGGAACACATATTTGCAGTATGTCCATTAGGACATATGCAGTAGGACCCTGGACTGAGGCCAAGGAAGAGAGGTTGGAGGTGAGATGACTCATCCTCTCAAATAGAGGAGGGAGCTCTGAGCCTGAGGACGATGCAGATGAAAGAGGGCAAACCAGCTGAAGGAAGAGGCGCTAGGAGACCTGTCAGAGGGAACATGGCAAGCGTGGTGAGAATTCAAATAAGTGTAAGGACACATACAGGTGTCCCCTCAAAATGCATACACGCTTTTAATAATTATTAACTCCAATGGTTTAAATAAGAAAAGAAAGAAACATCAATTGTTATCAGCTGTTAAAGCGTATATACATTTTTGGGGACACCCTGTCCCTGTATATGTGATGGTACAAAGACAGAAGGTGTGGGGGCATGAGAGGGTGGGAATAAGGAGGAATGATCCAAGTACTGATGGCAAGATCCTGACCTTCCCGTATTCATTCAGGAATATCAAGGTGGTGGGACAAACTGGGAGGTGATCGAGGACATAAAAGTTACCCAGAACATACTATGAGGAAATGTGAGACTCTAGGAACACTAAAAAAAATATAAACTCCAAAGTTAACATTTTAAAAA